GGAAGAAAAATTGATTTTATGTAGAGCAAGAGCACTCAAAAGCGAGGATTTTAGGGATTTTCACAAAATTTGGACGGAAAATGGATCATATCATGCTAAAACAGTGTTTTGCTCTGAGGATCACTGCACAGCTACCTTCCACAATGTCACTCTCGCACTCTCGCTCACATATAGGGGAGAAAAATTGAATTCGCTTGAAGCAAGAGCACTCAAAAGCGAGGATTTTAGGGATTTTCACAAAATTTGGACGGAAAATGGATCATATGCTAAAACAGTGTTCTGCTCTGAGGATCACTGTACAGCTGTTCTTTTCTTTCTTCATTCTCGCACTCACGCTCACATATAGGGAAGAAAAATTGAATTCATGTAGAGCAAGAGCACTCAAAAGCACTCAAAAGAGGATTTTGGGGATTTTCACAAAATTTGGGCGGAAAATGGATCATATCATGTGTTCTGCTCTGAGGATCACTGTACAGCTGTTCTTTTCTTTCTTCATTCTCGCACTCTCGCTCACATATAGGGAAGAAAAATTGAATTCATGTAGAGCAAGAGCGCTCAAAAGCACTCAAAAGAGGATTTTGGGGATTTTTACAAAATTTGGGCGGAAAATGGATCATATCATGCTAAAAGTGTTTTGCTCTGAGGATCACTGCACAGCTACCTTCCACAATGTCACTCTCGCACTCTCGCTCACATATAGGGGAGAAAAATTGAATTCGCTTGAAGCAAGAGCACTCAAAAGCGAGGATTTTAGGGATTTTCACAAAATTTGGACGGAAAATGGATCATATGCTAAAACAGTGTTCTGCTCTGAGGATCACTGTACAGCTGTTCTTTTCTTTCTTCATTCTCGCACTCTCGCTCACATATAGGGAAGAAAAATTGAATTCATATAGAGCAAGAGCACTCAAAAGCACTCAAAAGAGGATTTTGGGGATTTTCACAAACTTTGGGCGGAAAATGGATCATATCATGTGTTCTGCTCTGAGGATCACTGTACAGCTGTTCTTTTCTTTCTTCATTCTCGCACTCTCGCTCACATATAGGGAAGAAAAATTGAATTCATGTAGAGCAAGAGCACTCAAAAGCACTCAAAAGAGGATTTTGGGGATTTTCACAAAATTTGGGCGGAAAATGGATCATATCATGCTAAAACAGTGTTCTGCTCTGAGGATCACTGTACAGCTACTTTCCACAATGTCACTCTCGCACTCTCGCTCACATATAGGGGAGAAAAATTGAATTCGCTTGAAGCAAGAGCACTCAAAAGCGAGGATTTTAGGGATTTTCACAAAATTTTGACGGAAAATGGATCATATCATGCTAAAACAGTGTTCTGCTCTGAGGATCTCTGAACAGCTCCCTTCCACAATGTCATCCCGCACTCTCGCTCACATATAGGGAAGAAAAATTGAATTCGCTTGAAGCAAGAGCACTCAAAAGCGACGATTTTAGGGATTTCCACAAAATTTGGACGGAAAATGGATCATATGCTAAAACAGTGTTCTGCTCTGAGGATCACTGTACAGCTGTTCTTTTCTTTCTTCATTCTCGCACTCTCGCTCACATATAGGGAAGAAAAATTGAATTCATGTAGAGCAAGAGCACTCAAAAGCACTCAAAAGAGGATTTTGGGGATTTTCACAAAATTTGGGCGGAAAATGGATCATATCATGTGTTCTGCTCTGAGGATCACTGTACAGCCGTTCTTTTCTTTCTTCATTCTCGCACTCTCGCTCACATATAGGGAAGAAAAATTGAATTCATGTAGAGCAAGAGCACTCAAAAGCACTCAAAAGAGGATTTTGGGGATTTTCACAAAATTTGGGCGGAAAATGGATCATATCATGCTAAAACAGTGTTCTGCTCTGAGGATCTCTGAACAGCTCCCTTCCACAATGTCATCCCGCACTCTCGCTCACATATAGGCAAGAAAAATTAAATTCGCTTAAAGCAAGGGAGCACTCATAAGCGAGGATTTTGGGGATTTTCACAAAATTTGGGCGGAAAGTGGATCGTATCGCTAAAATACAGCAGCAGAGTGTGCAATAGCTGTGATGATGAAAAACGTAGGTCTTAGCGCGAACGAGAGCGACCCTGTGTGTCGTGAGCTCTCGTTCGCACCAGGACCTCTGCGTCCTCTTGTGCTCATCATTGCATCGTCGCGTTCTCTCAACGTTTAGGCACCGTTCTGTCTCTGGCGCCTATTCAAAACGAACGCTAAAGCCATACAGTGAGCGCACCATTCTAGCCGTCTCGTGTTTTTGGAACGGGTTCATATTATAGGAGAGGATTGAAAAGTGTGTACTTATTAGGTTGTCCGGAAAGCAATGCCCGTTTTGTATTTCAATCGCAATAAGTCACACACTTCTCATTTATAAACAGGTTGCAAAGTACCATTCGATAGAGCAAAGCAAGCTCTACAAGATGGTTCTTTTGCTTTTGCAACAGCTCTCATCCACCTCGAGTTTCGATTCAAAAACTAAAAAAACTCAGCAGCCCGAAAATCGAAAAAAATCGTAACTCAGTTCATAAAAATCCTACAAAAATTCTTACTTGCTCACGTAAACACTATCCACATAAAACAATTATGTACGCCTTTGCCGTATTTTTCCCTCTGTTAGAAACCAAAAAAACGGAAATTTTCGTGCATTTGCCAAAGTGATACTGTGCTGTCCCCACATAGGTAGTTATATACCGCAAGCCTGTAGGAGTGCACACTTAAATTTTCAGCTTTCTACAAGCTTTAGTTCTCGAGAAATTTGAATTTTAGCTTGGCTACCTAACTAGAGAAAGCTATATTCAGTATTTCTCGAAAACTAAAGTTTGTAAAGAGCTGAGAATTTGGGTCTGTACTTCTACAGGCTTGTGGTATATAACTGCCAGTGTGCGGACAGCCAGTATCACTTTGGCAAATGCACGAAAATTTCCGTTTTTCTGGTTTCTAACAGAGGAAAAAATACGGCAAAGGCGTATATAGATGTCTTATGTGGATAGTGTTTACGAGAGCAAGTAAGAATTTTTGTGGGATTTTTATGAACTGAGTTACGATTTTTTTCAATTTTTCGGGCTGCTGAGTCTTTTTAGTTTTTGATTCTAAACTCGAGGTGGATGAGAGCTGTTGCAAAAGCAATAGAGCCATCTTTTAGAGCTTCCTTTGCTCTATCGAATGGTGCTTTGTAACCTGTTTATAAGTGAGAAGTGTGTGACTTATTGCGGTTGAAATTCAAAACGGGCATTAATTTCCGGACAACCTAATACTTTAAGGACACCCTGTATATTGGAAAATATTAGGTTATCCGGAAATTAATGCAGGTTTTGAATTTCAACCGCAGTAAGTCATACACTTCTCATTTCTAAATAGGTTGCAAGGTACCATTCGATAGAGCAAAGCAAGCTCTACAAGGTGGCATCTTGCTTTAGCAACAGCTCTCATCCACCACGAATTTCCAGCCAGAAACTGAAAAGATTCGACTGCCCGAAAGTTTGAGAAAAATTGTAACTCAGTTCATAATAATCCTACAAAAATTCTAACTTGCTCACGTAAACCCAAACCACACAAGACATCCATATACGCCGTTGCCGTATTTTTTTCTCTGTTAGAAATCAAGAAAACGGAAATTTCCATGCACTTGCCAAAGTGGTGCCGTGCCGCCCCCACATAAGTAGTTGCATACTACAAACCTGTAGAAGTACAAACGTAAATTTTCAGCTCTCTACAAGCTTCAGTTTTCGAGAAATATCGAATATAGCCTTCATTAGTTAGGTGGTCCAAGCTAAAATTCAGATTTCTCGAGAACTAAAGCTTGTAAAGAACTGAAAATTTACGTTTTTACTTCTACAGGTTTGTAGTATACAATTACTTGCGTGGGGGCGGCACGGCACCACTTTGGCGAATGCATGAAAATTTCCGTTTTCTTGATTTCTAACAGAAAAAAAATACGGCGTATATGGATGTCTTATGTGGATTGGGTTTACGTGAGCAACTTAGAATTTTTGTAGGATTATTATGAACTGAGTTACAATTTTTCTCAATTTTTCGGGCAGTCGAATTTTTTCAGTTTCTGGCTGGAAATTCGTGGTGGATCAGAGCTGTTGCTAAAGCAAGATGCCACCTTGTAGAGCTTGCTTTGCTCTGTCGAATGGTACCTTGCAACCTATTTAGAAATGAGAAAGTTATGACTTATTGCGGTTGAAATTCAAAACCTGCATTGATTACCGGACAACCTAATATATCGAAAATTGAAATATTGGAAATCAAAGTCAAACCACTCTTATACTTTCCAAAATTGTATGAGGGTTTTTGGGGTGTGTGCCCTTCTGCACCGCTTTGTCCTAACGCCGATTACTCGCTTTTCTTATAATCTGGCAGAGTTCCCAAATAATTTGGAGTATTTTAGAAGAAGCTAGTGCACACTTTGTGAAGACGATTGTTTTCGCTATTTTGCAGTACCCCTCCCCCCGCCTTCCATTCTATTTCTGTGAACCGTCTAAAAATTTGCACATGGTAATCTGAAAAACCTATTCAAGTCACCGGGTGGATTTTAACAAACTTCCAACACCGGCAACACTTTCAGCACTTTCAATATCGTCAACACTCTCATTACCTACTATATATTCACACGACAACGCTTGCAAACTCTGACCGATCAATTACTTATGCTGAAAAAATTCATCCTTGCCCAAACCGAGCCGTCTTAAGTACAACACGTAGATTGTTTCCCCTCAAACAAGGTCTGGTCTAAAATATGAAGTTGAAGACTACAAATGATTCGCATAAGCTGCAGTTCTGGCAATGGCCTCCTAAATAACATTTGCACGGCAAACTTCATTTTGGACCTTGTCTTCAAAGTGAGTACCGTCAAGTGCCAAAAGTTTGAGGTCTCTCCGCCACAATGTGAACAAAATGCTGATTTAACAAGATCAGCTTCGTTGTAACAACAACTTGTACTCCACACACCGTTCGAGTTCCAACAAGATTGAGCTCCATCATTTTCACCATGCAGGGAGCAAAACCAGTGGGATGCATTGCCTATCCAGCACTTCAAATAATGGTCGGCATCCTCACGATTGCTGTCATTCTAATGATTGTGTGTGAAGAGACACCTGCACAGCAATCACCATCTTCTCTCTACAACGCCCTGAAGGACCTTGGCAATTTTGTGAAGAACCTAAGCAGGATAGAAGCAGGTAGCCAGTTTTCATAGTGAAATGGGCGAAATAATTGCCAAGCATAGGAGTAAGAAGCGCTTGGGTGCGAGACTTCTACTCAAGACAAGCATTAGAAAGAATTACGAATTTGCGATCCGCGTGGAATGCTTCCAATTTTTTCGTACTTTACGATGTCATCGTTCCCGAAGTTAGTTTTGCACCTTGATCACAGGACCTTTCTTAACGCTGATTCAGGTGCAATGTCCTAACCTGGTCAGAGTTGGATCAGTGGTGGATGGCGGCAAATACGTATGTAATCCGCAAGCTATCGATACTACAATGTGCAGGTAAAGAAACATCCAGCCAATTTTAAATCGAATGCTTTGCTAATGACCTTAGAATATATTCGCTTGGGCTTGATGATGAAATATCGTTTGATGTGCAGATACAGAACATAACAGGCAATACCTGCAAGATCTATGGATATGATCAGGTTTGGTCAACTTTTTTGTTATCTGCAAACCTTTTGCCTATCCTGCGAATCTCCTTCACTCTATCAATTCTGCTTTCTATGAAGTTTCGCGCAATTCCGCATTTTTTTTACCGAGGCCTCCTCACTACTCTACTTTTTTTTCACCATACGGAGTATGCGTCAAGCCGAAAAGGACAAGATGCCATATACCTCTTTTTCATCAGTTGATCCATAAAGATTTTCACCTCTTTCCCCTGTCCTGTAGTCCTCTTCCCTCATCCTCCACTTTCATTCTCTCTCTCCTCACTCCTCTCCTAAGTTATACACACTATACATGTGCAGCCTGCTAGTGTTGGATCTAAAGGGTACTGGCGAATTGCCAAATTGCGTCGCGACTGAAATCGCGTAAAGTATGCCCGGCCCTTTACCCCCGTTAAAATCGCTGCCAAGTTATTTCGTATCAGCGATTGCTTTATAGACACGTGAAGCTTATCGCGGGTGCAAAAGTTACGATCAAAATAATGTGAGGTAGGCTACAGAGTGCGTCATTCTGTGTTGCTAAAATATTCAAAACGGGTAGGTTCAAGCATGCTTTTGCTTCTATCAACCACTGTTATCTCCAGGGTCAAGCAAGGGGTGTGGCACACGATCGCTGGTTACGACCCCCCCCCTGATTGTTGTCTTAATAAGACCCCCCCCCCTAAACTATATACCTAAGATAGCATTACCAGAGTTGAGAAAGAGGTCAGGCACAAGTCTTTCGAAACCCCTCCACCTCCCATAAAAGCTCTCAAACAACCCCTTCTTCCTCCTCTTAACCTCTGGACCTCAATGTGTGACATTCTGGAGGACACCATCTTTTTCTAGAGAGTTTTCAGATTTCTGAGAGCTGTACGCCCGATTTTCTGTGACTGCACTTACAATCACACGTAATTTGACGGCTGATTTTGACCTGAATGGGCATATTGAAAGGGCCATAATCTTCTTATGGGTGGGGCGTTCCGCTCTAAATTTCCAATGTAGCAAGAAGAAGCTATATGCTCAATACTCATACCAGCAATGGAGCGCTTTCTGGATTTGAAGGCAAGTTTTTGATATAGTTAATGGGGGTGCGACACACCCCATTAACTATATCAAAAAACATTTTTAGGGGACAGTATTTATATGAATCGATAGCCTGAACCTTGTAGATTCCATAGAACTGTTTGAAGCCTAATTTCTCTTCTTAGCTCTAAGTAATATTTGATGAAAGCACAGCGATCAAAAGCGAAAAATGGGAAAAACGAGATTTTGGTTGGCTTCTAATTCCACAGTTTGCAGGTCTTCTGAAGCGGGATTCCTGAGGTGGACAAAGAAGGAGTAGCGCTTTGTCTTGAGTGCAAAAACGGGTAGCTAATTCACGAAACAACGTTAACCATGTTGGAATTTGACCATTTCGTTTAGGTAGCCTAGTATCTTGAATCTTCAGAATTCGCTCACACTTTGTCTACAGGGGTTAATTGACATGCTAATTATGGATATGATACGAATATCATGTTATCACTATTATCAGATTACCCAACAACGACCCCCTCCCCTTTTGACTCCTCAATACGACCCCCCAGGTGTGGCGTGCCGCACCCCACGCTTGACCCTGGTTATCGCTCAAATTACTCAGAGACATTTAACACCGGGCGACAAGGAGCCATTCCGGCCGGCGGCCGCGCCAACATTTGGGGCGGGTTTCAAAGCCGGCCGGCGACCGCGCCAAAAGCTTTACTGGCAGGAGTCCGCCCGAGTCCGCAAAAGCGCGAGGCGTGTACCAAAATGCATCCACCTTCTCAGACACTGGGAGCGGACGAGCCGCGTATGTTTTTTTTTTCGGCTGGAATTTCGCAGCTTCCGCAGCCCGGCCGGAGTGTGGGCCTCGGCTCAGCCGCAGCTGGTGTCGGACCGTCCGTGGTTCATTCTAACTCGGCATAATTCCGAGATCTGGCCCATGGCACACAAAAAATACACATAAAACAAAAATTAGAGCCACCGATATAGCATCTTCGGAAACCAAGTCCGATTTAGAATTTAAAAAAAACGCTAATATGCTATCCAGTGTTGTTTACAAGACAACATACTGATCTTGTTCCTGCCTGGGAGACGAAGGACATCCAAGGCTATGGACACTGAGGGCAGTCTGACCATGCTCGTACATCACGCAACATCCTTTACGCTCAGACACTTAGAGCTGCCGAGCCGCAGCCTTCATTTGACATTGGCCGCGGGTCGGCCGGAGTTTCTTACACAGATTTTGGCTCGCGGCTCAGCCGCTGCAATGCTCGCCTCATCATCAAAGGCCGCGAGCCGGTAAGCCCATTCCCTCCCGCGGCACGGTCGGTGCAATGATAATGATGTGAACGAAGGGCTGGCCGCCCGCACCCTGGTTACGCCCCCAAATCAAAGCCGCGGACGGGCCGGAAAGGCCTTTTTGGGCCGCGGCTCGTGCGCTCCCATTGCCTGAGTTTGGGGGCGCACGAGCCGCGGCCCAACAACTCGTCCGTATTATTCATTTCGACGAAGTGCATCCATGGAGTAGTAGCTTCTTTTGAGGAGTGGAGATGGACTCCCTGTTTGCATGAATATAGGCGCTCGTCTTACTTGTTAAGCAGACTGAATGTCTGCCTACTTGGTTGCCTACAGCACATTACGTATTTAAGATATGAGTGTTTAGGTTTCCATTAGAGCTTTAAACAATAATTCTTTGACACAACCTAATCTGCTAATGATAACTTAGGTGGAAAAACTTTTGGTAACAAAGTGCGTGGCGGACCCTGCAAGATTGTATACATATACACTTTTCAGAAATGAGACTTCCGAGATTAACATATCTGGAAATAATTAAAGAATTTAATCAGAATTAAATCTAGGTTTGAAAAAAATTTAACCGGTTTTTTGAAATTTGACTTGGATTTCTAAATAACTGTCAACTGTGAATATTTTTTCCAGTAGCAAAAACAATTTTCCAGTCAATTTCTTTTGAGAAGATTGGCTTCAGACGGCAAAATTTGTAAGCGATAAGTGAAAGTTCATGCCTAGCTATTACTAAAAGACTTGTGCGAGATATTTTCATACTTTGAAAATTAGGGAATTTTAAAAAATTGTAATCATGCTGAGTTTGTGAATGTGAAGCCGGTTTAGGAGACATTCAATTTTTTAGGAAACAGAAAAAACAGTTCAAGTTAAGAAATCTTATTACAAAAAGTATGAATTAACTCATCTCCAAAGATTGCTGAAACACAAGATGAATCAGCTGTCAGGAAAAGAAGAAAAGATTGATTAGTGTTTTTCAGATCTTGACTGATTTGTTAGTAGGTACCTGATTTGCTGACTCGTTATGTCATTATACACATAGCTGTTTCTAATCTGACTGCAATGGCTTGCCATCAGATGATGATGATGTGATGCGTGACCTACACCTTTTCGCACCTCAGCGTATGGTGAGTGAATGGCAACAGATTCTGGCTGCCGCGTAGCGCAACACAAGTAGGCCTGCGCCGCTCCTCGCTAATTACCACCCGGTGCTGCAAGCGGCTGTCCGGGTATCATTCGACCGCTTTTCCACCTGACCTACATAAAAACGATGTCGGTTCGATCGCTAACGTGGTTGTTTCAAAAAATTAAAAGCGTATCGCAAAAAGATTTACTGATAACGCTGTTTTTAGAATTAGATTTGCTTGAAAAGGCTATTCAATGGATTTAAAGAATAAGCCTATATCTATCAATGTTCACATCGCTACTGCAGTTCACTTGTGGTTTTCGACAGTAGCATATTATTGAACGTGTTTTGCTTCTACGATTTTCTCTTTGGATTTTCTAGTTACTATCGAATTGCAGTAGCTCATAATAATGTTTTTATCGCACTAAATGCTTCAGTTAAGTGCATTTATGCATGTGTTGTCAATAAATGTTCTTAACAAATCATTATTTTTGATTAAACCGAAACTATTACGATTAAAGAGTACATCCAAACTAAATCCGTGCTTCCACCATCGTGTGTGCTCAGATAATCGCCGGGGGCAGGCGGCCATGCGAGTTTTGAGCATGCGCGCACCGGAAAAATAGTTCGCTGATTTCTTGCGGTTCGCTTGCAGAAATTTGGGATAATTTTAGCGAATTTTTGGACGAATGCTTGGAGAAAAATCGCGGTTTTCTTATAGATTAGCTGCGGCGCAGTGGTCGCATTCTCGCGGACTTTCCGCGAGAATATGCAAGATTTTCAGGGGCCGCACGGTCCTTTGTGGAGGACCGCGCAGCCCCCAGGTACTTTCCGCTGGGAGAAAGTATCTCAAGCTTGAGTAACTAAACCAACGGTGACACCTCTGCCATACAGAGTCTTACGTGTGTTCGACGTAAGCCCGAAAATGCGTAAAAAGAGTCCGAGCGCTTGCTGAAAGTTTGGCCAGCGCTCGCTGAAAGGAGTTATTTGCCGAGCGCTCGCAAAAAATGCTGTATTGCTGCCCGCTGGCAGAATACGCGACAGTAAAGGAAGTACCGCCCGCTGAAGGTTCGGCCACGCCTCAAAATCCTGCTGACCGCTTGCAGAAAAGTGCGAGTTTGCGAACCGCCTGCCCCCGGCGATTATCTGAGTGGTTGTTCTCCCAGCGAGGCAGCTAACCCAAAGGGAAGCAAGCGACAAGCCGGCTGGAGAAGTCAAAATGTCTCATCAACAAACCTCTCTCATGTTTCAAGAAGAACTTCAAGTAATAGCTATGGCGTTCCCAAATGTGACGGACAAATGAATGCGAATTGTGGAAGAAGACGGCCATTTCAACAAGTTGAGAGGAGACGATTAGATTTGGTGACTCATCATAAGTGCAGACAACGATCCAAAGCTTCAAAACCGCTACGACTGGCTAATATCAATGTAGGGTCCCTAAGAACGACAGCGGGAACTAGCGGATCTTCGACGTAAAGTAGACATTGCCTGCCTTCAGAAGACCAATTGGAAAGGTGAAAGGTCGCGCGATAAGGAGATAGATATAAACTCCTATATAAAAGAACAAGTAACGGCAGGAACGGAGTCGGAATAATTATTTGTGAAAGGTTGAGAAACAGAATCACTAACGAGAAAGAATGAATGACCGGCTCATGAGCATCAGAATAGAAAATGGAAAGGGAAGTCTGCGCATAATCATTGCTTATGCACCACAAACAGGGTGCGGCAAAGATGAAAAAGATGTTTTTTTTGGGGAGACCTTGATGAATATATCAGATCCGTATCGCCTGAAGAGATATTACTAATTGGTGCAGATTTCAATGGTCACGTAGGAGAACGACGAGATAGTGCAGGAAAATGCCATGGAGACCATGGATTTGGACTACGTACCGAAGTTGGAGAACGCATGCTTGAATACTGCTACACACGATTTGGCGCTGACAAATATCGTCCTTTCTCCACGCTATAGCGGGCGGAGCTTTGCCGACGCTTGCCAACGTATGCGCGTGGCAATTTTTGGCAGCTATAGGGTAAAAAAGTAATGCTTTAGAATGGAGGTTCAACAAGTTTTTCAACTTGTTCAAATGTCTGCAGAGCCACGCCCGTTATACGCACTGAAATCGCCTATATCTACTTCGTAAAGAAAAGTAGTCATCTGGTTACTTACGCCAGTAAAGAACGAATCGCAAATAGACTTCTGGTGCGTTCGATATGATCTCAGGTATCGTCCCCTCCACAGCTCGTGCTCCCCTTGTGGCGTCGCGGACCTGCCACGTGTGGCTAACACATTGGCAACGTTGGCAGCAACACGGTGGCGCAGCAACATGTTGGGGTGGCCAAAATGTTCTGCCAACATATTGGGGCATGTTGCAAACATGTTGTTGCCACGTTGCCAACATGTTAGCCACACGTGGCGGGTTTGAGACGCAGAAGCATGAGCCGTGGAGGGGACGATATGTAAGGGATGAGGTCATCCCGGGTGAGGACTGCATACCACAGCATAGACCACTACTACTGATCTGAATACTCCAACTGACAAGGAAAGAAGGAAGGCGACGGAGCATAGAGTGCATATAAAGTGGTGGAAGCTCAAAAACGATGCCTACACAAAAGCGACAATGAAAAGTGCCTTAGTAGAATTGGATGATAATTCACAAAGCTCCTGGAAGAAACTGAAAGACAATGTCCATTGTATAGCTAGTGAACTAGTCGGATACACTAAACCCGGAAGAGCAAAACTTGACAAGGAAAATTGGTGGTGGAATAAAGCCGTGCAAATTGTAATAAAGAAGAATGCGGCATACAAGATATGGCAGAAGACACGCGCAGAAAATATTCACCAAAAATATCTAGAAGAAAGACGTGTTGCGAAGAATAGTTTAGAGAGGCTAAAAAACCGTATGTGGAAGACCTTTACAAGAAGCAGCAAAACCGTGAAGGCGAACAAGAAATGTATCGAATAGCGAAAGGAAGAGCAAAAGCTACGAAAGATTTGAATGAGCACTTCTATAACATCAACGATGTACACGCTCTCAGAACGTGCAAATTTTCGTGAGTGCGAAATTCCCGGAATTCCGCGACATTCATGGAAATTTTGCACGTTCTGAGAGCGGTATTGTACAGGGAAAGACTTAAAAAGCCGCAAGAAATAAATGAAAGATGGAGGACATATTTTGCAAGCATTGCATCCATGAGCCATGAGTATGCATCCACCGTAACAGCTGAGTGTTGGGACCGGTACCCAACATCACAGAAGAAGAAGTGGCAGTTGCCATAAAGAAAACAAGAAATTGTAAAGGAACAGGTGCAGACGATGTCCCCAGCGAATTCTGGAAGGAACGCGGACATGCTGGAGTAGCATGGCTAACACGACTTTTGAATCAGATTGTCAATACCAAGGATATGCCAAGTGACTGGTACAGAAGTACGACGGTACCGGAAACTTAGAGGACACATAGCTGACTGCTCGACGTACCAACCAACCCGACTCATATGTAACATTAAAAATTTTTAAAAGAGTTCTAGAAAGGCGACTGCGAAGCATTGTACAGCTGGCCCCTAATTTGTGCGGGTTTGTGAAGGGTCGCAGCACGGCAGATGCTGTACATGCTGCCAGGATAATAGGATAGCAAGGAGAAACAATGGGAATTGCATGCAGCGTTTCTCGATTTGGAGAAAGCGAGAAAGCGATAAGGTGCCGCATGACATCATATGGTGGTCGCTACGAAAGTATATGGTGCCAGAAGAATACGTGCAGTGGATTAAGATGATATATAAAGATGCCACTAGTCAAGTACAGACAGCAGCAGGCGAATCAGAAGATTCCAATAATCGCTGGCGTTCACCAAGGCTCCATGCTGTCGCCCCTCCTTTTTATCCGGTTTTGGATACGATAGTTGAAAGCTTCAACCTCCGTGGGCCTTGATGCACGTACTGTTGATGGCAAGAATTAGGGAAGAATTGGAGACTAAGGTACAGAAGTGGAAAAGTGAACTAGGGCTACACGGTCTGAAAATCAACGCGGCGAAAACCGAGTACATGGAGCTGGGAGTTCAAAGGCCTGGAATCATCCAGATCGAAAGTATTTCAGTCAACAAGACCACGGGTCTCAAGTATCTGGGAACTCTCATAACAGCAAATGGTACGCTCAAAGAAGAAATTACCTCCAGGATAAACGCAACTTGGTTGAAATGGAGAAGTCTTACAGGAATCATGTGCGATAAACGAATACCGATCAAGTTGAAGTCCCAGTTGTACCGCGTGATCCGCCCAGCTGCTTATTTGGCAGCGAGTGTTGGCCATGTACACGAAACGATGAACGAAGGATTAGTGTAAAGAAGACACGTATGCTAACAAGGGTAGTAAGAATTCGAAGTGGCGAATCCAAGCAAGCTGCCTACCATTCGAAGCAGCATTCAACGCTGATTTCGAATCTGTATGCCATATATGCTTAACGCCTTCGTGGATAAAGTTGTGAGCAGTTATATTACAAAAAAATCGTGCATAAAAATTTCGATATTGAGCACATTTATCACTTCTAACTCACCTTCAAACTTCAAGAATATAAAGTAACCTAGCTGCATTTTTGGCCCAGTATTAAGCCGAACGTGGCTCTGTACCGCTTTTTTGCGCTTTGCATATACGTTTTTCAGAAAAATAATGGCCTTAACGGGTCAGATCGTCCACAAAGGCGCTAATGCGAGATAGAGATTCGAAGTCAGCGTGTTATGCTGCATCTAATGGTATGCAGCTTGTTTGATTGGCCACTTCGATTTCTTACTATTCCCTTGTAAGATGGACAGCAGGCATCACTATGCTGGATCATGTCAGCAGCGATGCCATTAGGACCACCCCGATTGTCAAGAAGATACAAGAAAAGCACTTCAATGATATGGACATGTGAAAAGAAGAGATTAAAATCACGTCACTAAATTGGCACTATTGAGATATCACTGAGAAGAGGTCAAAAGGCCGAAACGAAGATGGATGGATAAAGTTGAAGCGGACTTGAAAGAACTTCAAATAAATCAACATCAAGCTGAAGATCGCAAAGAATGGAAAAGGCTGATAAGAGTAGTAGATTTGTTCGTAGTGTAGACTAAAGATCTTTTATTTTCATTGCTATGGAATGCCTAGATTGTATTGAACAGAGTGATATTGAAAGAGTAGCAGATCCCATACGAGGGAATAATGCGAGGATAAAAAAAATTACGACTAAAGAGCATTATAAGGTTGCGACGAATTTTTAGCATAGGACAAGAAAGAGCAGGGAAATTTGTCAGATTCGAATTTGGGCGGCGTGCCGCGAACTGTTTAGCGAGCCAAACGACGTATCATCGCGCGATATAGCTACTCGCTGGCGCCCGTTACATGACCAGTCGGCGAGCACGCATGAGCAGACGGACGGAATATGATGTTCCGTCAGCTGATCGCCGGTCGGTGCAAATGTCTTTCCGGTTGACGTCCGGCTGACGACTGGCACTGTCGAAAAGACGGTGTTGCCTCAGCCGCTCTTCGCGCGGTAGCCGGCCGGCAAAGTGTCTGTGCAGAATTTGCCGGCACTGTCACTCAAGAAATCTCAAACTTTCTCGTCGGTCCCGTTCTTCCCTCCCTCCCTAAATCGCCATTTCTTATGCCCAAGCACATCAGTTATAAGCGAGCAGATGATTCCTCATAAGAATGATGGTTCCCCAATCTTACTTGGCACACCAAGTGGATTAATAAAATCTCCCTTATAACAAATCTTTATGAAATGTACATCCTTTAGAACGCATCGACAGTGGTCTACAGCTTTGTAATACAATTTTTTTCTCAGGCGTCTTCTAAAAAGTCTTGTAAGGATAGGCGTGAACAAACTTTGGGGTTTTTGTTAGCGCAGCGAAATCAAGAACTCATTTGTTACAAGTTATCCTCCATGTTATGCCTGTGTAAATGCATCGTTTGATGTGTAGGATGTTTCCGATTGTTTGTTGTAGCAAAGAAAAAAATATTTATCTTTAGCAAGAGCAATCAAAAGGAACAAAGGATGCATATTCACGTATGAATGGAAAACTTAAAGCAGTCCTTATCAGCAACGAAAAAGGAAATAGAATTCGTGAGATTACTTTAGTAACGTCTTCGCTGTAATCTTGCTGTATATACAGAAGATTTCTTTGACGAAAATGGAGATAATTTCGCTGATATTTTGAAAATTGACATAGAAGGTGCTGAACACAACGTATTGATACCGTTCCTTTCTAATAAAAAGTACAAAGTTTGTCAGGTGATTTAGTGAAAAGTGCTGCTTTCACAACATGAATTTGTATCTTTAGATATTGATTGAGATACACGGTCAGGCCGATGCGCAACTTCACCTTCTTGTTTTAATAGCTAAGTAAGAAAACTGGGCTCAGAAGGCTAGAACAAAGTGTGTTTTGGTTTAGGCAAGGATATGCACTTTTTTCTTACGAAATTAACGGTGGCGCGATGAGTGCATGCGAATACGGCTTTATTCATATGTCTTGCCTGAAGCAATATGAAGCTGTTGAACTAAAAAGATATCTCCCATCGGTTAAGTAACTTCTAATACAGTGAAGAGATAAAGATTGTGCGATTAAGCGTTAACCTTACAAATCTGACTACCTGTAAATCTGTTTACTCCATATAAAAAGCCTTAAAATACGTGTAAATAATTTTGTATGCCTTCTTGTAATCTTGTTTTATATGCAGAAGATTTCTTTGACGAGAATGGAGATAAATTCACTGATATTTTGAAAATTGACATAGAAGGTGCTGAACACAACGTATTGATACCGTTCCTTTCTAATAAAAAGTACAAAGTTTGTCAGGTGATTTAGTGAAAAGTGCTGCTTTCACAACATGAATTTGTATCTTTAGATATTGATTGAGATACACGGTCAGGCCGATGCGCAACTTCACCTTCTTGTTTTAATAGCTAAGTAAGAAAACTGGGCTCAGAAGGCTAGAACAAAGTGTGTTTTGGTTTAGGCAAGGATATGCACTTTTTTCTTACGAAATTAACGGTGGCGCGATGAGTGCATGCGAATACGGCTTTATTCATATGTCTTGCCTGAAGCAATATGAAGCTGTTGAACTAAAAAGATATCTCCCATCGGTTAAGTAACTTCTAATACAGTGAAGAGATAAAGATTGTGCGATTAAGCGTTAACCTTACAAATCTGACTACCTGTAAATCTGTTTACTCCATATAAAAAGCCTTAAAATACGTGTAAATAATTTTGTATGCCTTCTTGTAATCTTGTTTTATATGCAGAAGATTTCTTTGACGAGAATGGAGATAAATTCACTGATATTTTGAAAATTGACATAGAAGGTGCTAAACACAATATTGATATCGTTTCTTTCTGATAAGAAGTACAAAGTTTGCCAGGTGATTTAATGAAAAGTGTTTGATGTGGCATGGTTTGCAGGATAAAATAATAATTTCATTGCTGAATGCCAGAAGTCTTGTAAATAAACTGTATCACCTACGAGCCTTATTGATTGAAAACAAACCTGACATACTTTTTGTAACTGAAACATGGTTAACGAAAAACATCCGAGATAGCGAAATTGTGGGAGATTTGTCCTATTTAGTTTCCCGTGCTGACAGACGAAGCCGTAGAGGGGGCGGTATTTGCTGCTTGTCAAAAATAAGTTTGCCAGTGAAATCGTTGGTTTCTGATGATAGTACCATGTCCAACATTCTTTGCATTGATGTAACTTGCCCACAACAGCCCACGCTTTGCGTTTCGTTGCGGTCTACTGTACACCCCATAGCACGGCTCCACAGTATCAATAAGTTGATCGAATTACTTTGCAGTTTTGTGAGTGATTATTGAAATACGATTGTCTTGAGTGATTTCAATTTGCAAATTGACTGGATCAAAGCATCTCCCCTCAATAAAAGTTCTGAAATGTTTTTTCGAATTCTTCCGTGACTCTGGTTTCGAATAATTTGTTCGTGAACTTACATACTGCAACCACGTTCTTGATCTTGTGTTTTCGACCTCCCCTAATATCTCTGGAATTCTTACCATGCCCCTTCTTGCAAGTTCTGATCACCGAATTTGCTTCTTGTGCACTGCCCCGACCCGACTTGGTTGACTATATTTCTCTTAACAGCTACCTTGCCAATGTCGATTGGATGAGCTTGTTTAATCAGTACTGGTCCGCTGATGACATTTACTACAGATTCTGCACTACTATTTACACCGCTCTTGCAAACTTTGTACCCTTCTCCATGGCTCGACCTCATTTGCAATATCCTAATCATATACAAAAACTTGTTGCTCAAAAAGAGAGGCTGTTCAATAATATGCTAGACCCTTTATCCCATCCTACATACAAAAAAGTATGTCAAGATATCGATTACCATTTGAAGAAATACTTATCCAATCGTGAGCCGAATCTGGCCAATAAAGCAAACTCGAAATTTTTTTTTGAATACTTAAATCAAAAATCAAACCAAATCGTCATCTGCCAACCATAACGGACCCAACGGGCCGCAGCCGTTACACGGATGCAGAAAAAGCACATCCTTTAGCCCGCTATTTCGCTGAAATTTTCGACTCCGATGAGCTAGTCGAACGCTTAAATGGTTTTGCACCCACTTCTACTAGTCACCGGTCTTTATCGAACGTACTATAGTCCTTCAGAGATTCAGAAGAATTTGACCAAATTGAAACCACCTCTAAGTGAGCCGTTTGATGGAAGTTCACAGATTATTTTTAAAAAAGTGTGCCTCATCTCTCTGTAAACCTCTTGCTCATATCTTTAACATATCGATGATGCTCGGTGAAGTGCCGCAAATCTGGAAGGAGGCATTAGTCACTGTGATCCCTGAAGTTTCTAACGCACGCCTGCTCTCAGATTTTCGCCAATTAGTTTGAACCCTACCGCTGTAAAAGTAATGGAGAAAGTACTGCGCACTAGATTGCTTCCATGGCTTAAAAGCTCAACGTAATCCCTGCTAGTAACATGGTTTTATAGAAGGATCATCCACTGTCACTAATCTTGTGGACTCGGATTTTGACTGGAGTTTGGGACTTAACAGTGGTAGTTTTGTTGATGTTGTTTACGTTGATCTTTCCAAGGCATTTGACACAGTTCATCACGGAAAGCTTTTGTACAAGCTACAACAAATCGGAGTGAAAGGAGATCTTCTGAAGTGGCTGAAATCATATTTGCACAATAGAGGAAGGCGCTTGCACATACACACACCAAATTTGGTGTCATACTATTGCGTTTTGCTGAAAATAAGGCTTTGTTCGTTTGATGGACAGCAGTCGGTGGCATGCCGGCAACATTCTTGCGGCTCTTCTCCGTCCTGGACCCCGGAAAAACGATATCCCCTTTGCTTTCCTCCCTAAAAACGATATTTAGCTTGATCCAGTGCCAGCTGTGCCGAGCCCTGACCCCATAGCACGGCTCCAAGTGATAATAAGTTGACTGATCGAATTACTTTGCAGTTTTGTGAGTGATTATTAAAATACGATTGTCTTGAGTGATTTCAATTTGCAAATATACTGGATCAAAGCATCTCCCCAGTTCTGAAATGTTTTTTAAATTCTTCCGTGACTCTGGTTTCGAATAATTTGTTCGAGAACCTACACACTGCAACCATGTTCTTGATCTTGTGTTCGACCTCCCCTATTATCTCTGGAATTCTTACCACGCCCCTTCTTGCAAGTTCTGATCACCGAATGTCAAGATATCGATTACCATTTGAAGAAATACTTATCCAATCGTGAGCAGAATCTGGCCAATAAAGCAAACTCGAAATTCTTTTTTGAATACATAATTAAAAAAATCAAATCAAATCGTCATCTGCCAACCATAACGGACCCAACGGGCCGCAGCTATTACACGGATGCAGAAAAAGCACATGCTTTAGCCCGCTATTTCGCTGGAATTTTCGACTCCTATGAGCTAGTCGAACGCTTAGATGGTTTTGCACCCATCTATCGAACGTACTTTAGTCCTTCAGAGATTCAGAAAATTTTGACCAAAGTGAAACCATCTCTAAGTGAGCCGTTTGATGGAATTTCACAGATTATTTTTGAAAAAGTGTGCCTCATCTCTCTGTAAACCTCTTACTCATATCTGTAACATATCGATGATGCTCGGTGAGGTGCCGCAATTTTGGAAGGAGGCATCAGTCACTGTGATCCCTGAAGTTTCTAACGCACGCCTGCTCTCAGATTTTCGCCAATTAGTTTGAACCCTACCGCTGTAAAAGTAGAGGAGAAAGACTGCGCACTAGATTGCTTCCATGGCTTAAAAAGCTCAACGTAATCCCTGCTAGTCAAGATGGTTTTATAGAAGGATCATCCACTGCCACTAATCTTGTGGACTCGGATTTTGACTGGAGTTTAGGACTTAATAGTGGTAGTTTTGTTGATGTTGTTTACGTTGATCATTCCAAGGCATTTGACAGAGTTCATCACGGAAAGCTTTTGTACAAGCTAGAACAAATCGGAGTGAAAGGAGATCTTCTGAAGTGGCTGAAATCATATTTGCACAATAGAGGAAGGACGGTGAAGGTGAAACACCACTTTTCTGAACGACAACTCTGTCGTTCAGAAAAAGAGTTGAAGGAGTTGTATATACTCTGCCGATGGGAATATTTTTAGGGTCTTTACTTTCAAAGAGTTAATAAAGATGCGCAGTCAAAGCGGATGAAGTTGTAAGTGGCTTATCTCTGCATTGTAAGCCCTTTTCATAACTAGTACCATTACGGCGTATCACAGGCAATGAAGCATGATTATTGATGTAGATCAAATGAAAACTTGAAGTCAAACATGACTCACCCGAAAATACAGCTCACAAAACGTGCAAAATTTCCGTGAATTTCGCTAAAATCCGCTACATTCCTGGAATTTCGCGGCATTTACGGAAATTTTGCACGTTATGTGAGCGGTATTACACACAATCATGAAAATGAGATAGGCGCACTTGCATTTGAATCCTATTCGACTGCGCGTTCTCTTCTTTGCATAAGTAAGAGTAAACATATTAAAAATTTGACGCAGAACGGCTATAAAAGCCGCCTTGGAAGGTTAGAAACATAAAAAGCGAAAGAATAGCAAAAAAAAACAGCTTTGATGTCAATTTGTTAGGTTGGCACATAAGTAATGCAACTTTTTATATAACTTTTGTCTATTTGAACGTAGCGCATTCATTTTTTGGAAATTCAAGGAATATGATGTAAGCTTCTAATGCACACATTTTTGCCGAATTTTACCATCTTATATGAGGATTACGGTAGGTTTACGGTACTATGGGAAAATTTTTAGAATGCATCAGATTTTGCTGAAACTTGGCCTATAGGGCTTATTTGACATGCTGATCACAAAAATGAGATCCGTTTCGCATGAAAAGGCTTCGTTCGTGAGATCAAAAGATGAATTTCATTTTAGCGACAAATGAATATGATATTCGTGTTTACCGCATAGGATTACCCTATAGTGCAAAGTTATAGCGAATTCTGACTTTTCGCAGCTTAGTTATTGACAAATTGCCTTCAAAACTTGACGCATTTGACTTGTTCAACTTCTCAAAGGCGTCCCACCTTAATTTGTGTTCAAATTTCATTTCTTTTTCACTGATTCCAATGTGCCAACTTCCAGCTACATGCTGCCTATAATTGCTTTTTCATATGTTTGAATCAGGTTTCGTAGGGCTTCATGTTTGCCAAAAAATCGTAAAACCTCGATTTTCAGCAGTTTTCAAAAAATGCTTAGATTTTTTGTACTACGTTATCAAAAATCAAACGGTTTGCGCAGACTTGCAGCTTACATCACGATCTACAAGATGCCACAAAATGAGATTGCTGCACAAAATAGGAAAAAAATTACGGGAAAAGTTGCAAAACTTATGTGCCAACCTAATAAATTAGGTCCTGTGTTCAACTACGGGAGAGGCGGGCTCGCTGGTCCCATGCGAGATTTCAAGTACTTGTACACTGGCACACGGCCCAGCGAAGCTGACTAGAGAAATGACGCCTACTATGCTCGCGCTGAAGCATCACTTTGAGATAATCGCCGGGGCAGGCGGTCCGCAGTGCGCTTTTTTGCAAGCGGTCAGCAGAATTTTGGGGCGTGGCCAAACCTTCAGCGAGCGGTACTTCCGTGTTCCGCCAGCGGGCAACGATACAA